TGTTAGCAGGCCAACATACGTCTTAATAATGTCCTCTGTTAATAGATATGATATTTGTTTCAGTGTAGGTATTTGTGCTAGGTACCAAGCAAGCCCTAAAGAGAGTCATTTGAGTGTTGTAAATCGCATTATCCGATATGTCAGTGGAACACCCGAATTGAGAAAATGGTATTCAAAAGATACTAACAATTGTCTTGCAGGGAACAGTGATGCTGACTGGACAGGAGATGTGGATGACAGAAAAAACATCACAGGAGGTTGTTTCTACATGGGTAACAATTTGGTATCTTGGTACAGGAAACAAAATTCCATTTCCTTATCTAATGATGCGTGTGAATACATAGCTGTAGGTAGCTGTTGCACTCAACTCTTTTGGATGCAACATATGTTAAATAACTATGGCTTTCGTGAAAAAGAGTTGAATGTCTTTTGTGATACTGCCCCCCGCCATAAATATTTCAAAAAATCATGTTCATCATTCTAGGACAAAACATATAGATATTCGTCTTCATTTCATCAGGCAATTAGTTGAGCAGAAACGTGTGACTATAGATTATGTGTCCACAGACAATCAACTAGCCGATATTTTCACAAAGCCTCTTGATTTCCTTAGGTTTGATTCCTTGCGTAAAGCGCTTGGAATTTGCCATGTGCAAAACTAAATTTTCTATGATAGTGCAATTAATGTTTGTGTCCGGATTGCATTTGAATTTTTTTAATCGGACATTATATGTGTCACCTTCAAATGTGACATCATTGTTTTTGGAATAGGAATGATGGGAGGTTCATTTTGACTAATTGTTTGTGTGTTAGTTTTTGTGAATTAATTTTTGTTTCCGCAGTTAGCCATGATAGAAGTGTGCTGCCCCCTCTATCGGGAGTGATCAATGTTTATGACCTCATTCATCTCAAAGATCATACCTTTATTGGGAGAATTATGCTACCGCATATGCATCCCTGACTTCTATTTAAAAGCTATGTGGATTCTTAAGGAGGTTGTCATCCTAATGTTTGTTTGAACATCATATCAACAAAAAAAGGGGGGGGGAAGAAAAATGGTTCGAATTCAAAAAAAAAAAAAAAAAAAAAAAAAAAGGAGGAGGAGGAGAAAAATAGTCCAAATTCAAAAAAAAAAAAAAAAAAAAAAAAAGAGAAAAGTTGGGATGATATTCAAGCATATATTAGGAAATTCTCCTTGAAGTCCACGATCGAATT